CAACCACCCTGCTATGTCAGTTTAGTGAGACTCCCCACCCACCCTCAGTATCTGAGCAAATTCCTCGCCCTCCAGCCTCCAATCCTCCGGGTGCTATCTGACCATCCTGGCCCAAGAATCCTGCTAGGCCAGTTTAGCAAGAACTCCCCTACCCTCTCAGTCATTTTCTACCCACCGACCCCTGACCCTGCTCCTTAGCTATAGGTACCCACGTTTCTTTCTGCTTTTCAGAGTTAAGCCCCACTGAGGTCTCTTTCCCCCCATTGCAATCGTTCTAGAATAAAATCTGTGTTTACCACTTTAACTTCTGTCCAGCTCTGTTTCGCTGCCACACCATCTCAGCCCAGACCTCCACCACTCTTCTCCACTCGCTGGGAACCACTGCTCCTCCCCTCCAGCCCTCCAGGGAGGGCTGCCAACACTTCTCTAGAACTTGGGTGGCACCTAGTGGTAATGATCGGTCACCACAGCGGGGTGCTCCATCCTCTGCCCTTCTGCTTCTGGACGGAGACCCTGCTCCAGACCAGCAAAGCCCAGCAGAGCATAGGAGAGGATGAGCACTTCCAACCTCCACCATCGTATCGTTGCCACTAACACCTCCTCGTGAAGAACAGACGGGTGCACCCCTGGCTGTGCCACTTAAGGGCTACGTGGTCCTGGGCACGTCACTTTACACGCACCCCAGTCTCAGTTTCCCTCTTCTCTAAACTGTGGATAATGATGAAGAGCACATCATGGATTTGCAGCCACAAGTGAGAGCAGCCCCTGGCACAGGGCCTGGCGTGGAGAACGGAAAGGGCCAGCGCCGGCCACTGGCGTGTTGGACCAAAGGTCCCAGGGCCCGACTGGCACACAGCCATAGGTGGAAGGACGGAGGAGCTGATGGAACTTTCATGGGGACATTCTCTCCAAACGGAGACCTGGCAGAAGCCAAGCTGTGATTTAACAAGAAAATCGGGGTGTGAGGGGGAGAGGGGGGAAAAGAAGAGGAAGGTTCTGTGGACACTTATTGTCCCAAACCCACAGCCAGGCACCTGGGGCCTGTCCAGCCCTGGTCTCGGCTGGGCTGGGAGCCCCCACTCCTCACCCTGAGGACTGACCATGAATGCAGACTGGCAGCCCTTCCCTCCCCTCTCCCCCACTCCCACCTCCCAGGTTGGCACAGCTGTGCTCACTGTCAGCTTCCCCAGCTGACACCACCAACTGTGCCAACAGCCAAAGCTGGGCATCGGCGGCAGGGTGTACAGTACAAAGGCACAGGCCCACGGCCCTGCCACGGCTGCCTGCTGGAACACCCACGCTCAGCCAGGGCAGGCGAACCCTGTCTCAGATGTAGGGCCCAGGAAGCAGGTGGGATTTACTGAGCTTACTGTATGCCGAGCACCCTGCTCAGGCTGTGTGTGTGGCGGCTCCTTTAACCCTCCTAGCAACCCTATGAGACGGAGCTATGAATAGCTTTGTTAATAAGAGGAGGAAACTGAGGCCCAGAGAAGCTCAGGGTCCTGCAGGCTTTGAACACTGGCTCCCAGAGCTTAGCTTCAGAGAGCATCCAGTCAGCCCCCTCATTTTGAGAAAGGGGACGGGAAACGAGGTTTAGACTCAGAACACAAGGGTTCCCATTCCAGCCCCACTGCCCTCGAGGAGCCTCTGTTTTTATCTGCAAACAGGGATGTTCACAGATCCTAGGATCTGGCTGATGGTCAAGGACAATCGTTATGAGGAACCTGAGGCCCGGAAAGAGGAGGGGCTTGTGCAGTCTCTCTCACCCAAGCCTCCTTCCCGGAGGCCTGGGCGTCTCTCCACCTCTCTCTCCCTCGCTCCCTCCTGGCCTTTGCTCAGGCTGTTCCCTCTGCCCGGAGCACGCTCCCCTCCTCTCTGCCTTGCCTGGCTGACTCCCATTTAATCTTTCCAGGACCAGAATCCTTTGCGGACCAGCAGGTCTGGATGGATGGCTCCAGGTGTGCCTGCATCCTCCCCCGACTCCTCCCAGTCCTGTCATTTCCTGTTTACCTGCCTGTCTCCACCTGGGCTGTGAGCTGCAGGCGGAGGAGACCTCCCCTACTCCCACCAAGTCTATGGTGCCCAGCCCAGCGTCAGCACACTGGGTATTTGTGCAGTAGTTGTATGCATGGATGAACGAAGCCGCACAACTCAGTGGCCTAGCCAGAACCAGGGCATGTTTAAGCCCTTGCAGCCGCCTGGGTTATATTGCCTCACCCTCCTCTCTCCAAGACTGGATTCCCTCTGGGACAAGCCTGTGGAGGAGAATCCCAGGGCAGGAGCGTCAGTGCTGGGCTCAGGTCCCCCGCTCCGCCACATGCCAGCTGTGTGGCCTTGAGCCTCAGTACCCTGGGATGTTAACAGCATCTGCCTGAAGATGGCCGGGTATTCTGTGGATGAAGGGAGCCCTGGGCCTGGACAAGGTCAGTGCTCAGTACCTGGAGGCTGCTCAGTCCCGTGACAAGGCTTTGGGGACAGTCTGGACTCCCCTTCTCCCCTCTCAGCGCCTGGGGCCACACTCCATCCGTTCTCTTTGTTCTCACATCTGGATGTGACTCTGCTCCTTGGTGAGCTCAATAATGCCTGGCCCATCCCACAAGCCGTCAGCCATTCATGCACTGTCCCAGAAACCCAGTCACCTCAGTCCCTGCCACCCCCAGTCTGCCACTCCCGCTAGGGCCTGCAGCCACACCCACGCTGCCATAGACCACAGTCCCCACACCTGCTGGTCCCCATGCCCTTCACAGTTCCACAGACACCCCAGGAGTGGGAATGGGGGACAGCGGCTCTACCAGCCACAGCTGACCAACACTCAGTGCACAGTCATCCTAAAGCAGTGACACCTCCCTGTGGGGCACAGCCCCCAGCAGGCCCTTGGCAGACCACTCCACCTCCAGGACTGACTGATGGCTTCAGCCCAACAGCAAGAATCACGGCCGGTCAAACTTTACAGAGGCTGTTGTAAAAAGACATCCACCTTCCACGTCAGTCCCCTATGAGGCAGGGCGCTCCTCCAACAGTGCCGAGTGGTGAAGGGAATGAACGTTACTGAGTCCCTGCGATGGCCGCACAGCCTCCCACCAGCCACGGGTTTGCCCACAAGGACACTGGGGCTAAAGGAGGTTGAGCTGCCCAAGTTCTCACAGGTGGAGAGTGGTGGGTTGCTCAGAACATTGGACACCCTGCTCCCAGACTTCTCCGAGTGACCACGGGCCCGCTTTGGCCTGCCCACCTCATCTCTTCCTCTCCCTCTGGGCTACCTGAACTTCCTTCACATTCTACATTCTCCCTTGACCTCATATCATTCAATGCATATGTCAGTGCTTTTTTACAAAGGGAACAAAGGTCCTTGCCCCCGTGAGCTGATATTGTAGTGAGTAGACAGACAATGAACAATGGTTGTCAGTGAATGTATTTGGTGCATCAGGTGGCAGAGAAGACTGGGAGGGCGGGACCAAGAGATGGGAAGTGACAGTGGGGAGAGAGTGGTATTAAGAAGGGTGGTCAGCAAAAGGCTTAGGAAGGTTCCAGCAAAGACTCGAAGGAGGAGGGGGTGAGTCCTGTGGGAAGCGCCTTCCAGGCAGAGGGAACAGCTGGGCAGAGTCCTCAGGAGGGAGCGTGCCTGGAGCCTTCAGGAGCGGCATGGAGGCCGGTGACTCAGGTGGAGGGAGAGACAGAGAGGGTACAGGAGGTGGAGTCAAGGGGTGGTGGAAATGATCATGGGGGGACTTCAGGGCATTGGATGTTGGCTCCTACTCAGAGGGGAATGGGGAGTCCTGGGAGGGGTGAGGAGAGGAGGGACAGGGTCGGATGACAGACACTGGGCTGAGGACGGTGGAGCAGAGAGAATGAGAGGGGCAGTTGTAGTAACTCAGGCACGAGGTGATGTGGCTCAGACCAAGCAAGACCGCAGCCCTGAAGGTGGTGAGAAGTGGTCAAATTCTAGATTTTTCCCTTCTCATTTTATTTTTTAATGTGTATGTTTTACTGAAGTATTTTATAAATACAGGATGCAGATGCATGTTGAAGATAGAGCTAACAGATTGGATGTGGGATGTGAGATATGAGATAAAGAGTTCAGCACACAGGTTTTTGGCCTGGGGAGGGTGGCAAGAATGGAGGAGGCCCCACCTTGCTCCTCCCAGAGTCAGCGCAGCGGTGCTGAGCGGGCCTGGATACCGTCACAGGCCCATGTCCTCTGCTTACAGATCAGGAGCCGAGCCCAGGAGCAGAGGACGGCCTGGGTCCCTCGCTAGAACCCCTGTCCTCCGTGCTGAACCCTGCCCTGGCTCCTCTGCCTCCTTTGTGGCGGATGGCCAGACACGTTCGGCCCTGAGCTGGACTCTGCTGTAGACAGGAACTCCCAAGGAGGGAGGTGGCTGGCTGGGGCCTGGCGCCCTGGTTCCACACCTGCCCTTCTGCAACCACTTCGCTCATAGACCTTGAAGACCCGCTCTGATGCCATGAACCTCAACTTTCCCTTCGGCAATTACTACAGCACATTCGGGCAGAGCAAATGGGAAGAACAGACCAACTTCCCAGGTGACCAGGACAATGACCGTGTGGGCTGAATCAGGCAGAACCGAGGAGCCTTCTGCAGACCACCCGCTGTGGGCTTTCCTTTCTGTCTTCATACCAATGACGTATCTGACCTTGAACTTCTAATAGCTGCGATGGCTCCTAATGTTCTCCCCAGACCTGATTTTGTGTTTGTTTTCTTTAAATCTCTGAATTCCTATTGCCTAACACTATGCATGGCCCAGAGCAGGAGCTCAAGAAATGTTGGGTGACTGAGTGACCACGTCCCTCTGTGTGTTCCCCATCATTACATGAGCAAGGCCTTTCTCCTCCCAACCTACCAGGTAAGGGGCAGGGGCCATGCCCACAATGTTTCTAGGGCCCCCGGGCACAGCACAGTGCTGGGAACCCAGGAGTCTCAGTGAATGAAGACCAATTACGCAGTAAGCTATGCTGCATAGCAAGACACACCAAAACTGAGGGACTTGAAACAGCAGCCTTTATTTCGCTTACGATTCTGCAAGTTGGCAATTCGGCCTGGGCTCAGCCGGGCGGCTGTTTGGTCTTGGCTAGATTCAGGCGTGTGTCTGTGGTCAGCTATGAGTTGGCTTTGCAGATCTTCACCAAGCACTCTCACGTGTCTGAGGACTCAGTGGAGACAACTGGGCTGATGACTCTGGTCCAGGTGGGCTCCCAGCCTCCGACAGGGCAGCCAGACTTTTCCTCATGGTGGAGGCAGGGATGCTGAGAGAGCCGAACGCACTAGACCTAACACCTAGACTGGGGAACTGGTAGACCATCAGTCCCACTACATCCTATCGACCAATGAAAGTCACAAGCCCAGTTCAGAGTTCAGATTCAAGGGGTGGGGGAAACACTCTACTTCTTAATGGGAAAAGCAGAGTGTCACATCACAGGAGGTAAGGATGCAGAGAGGTGAGAACACGGGTGCTGCTTTTTGATGCTCTCATGCTCTGTCTCCTGAGAGGTGACGATGGCATCAATTTTCTCTCCCCTGAGCCTTTTCAGAAGGCAGAACTCGAGCCAACAAGAGACAAGCTCCGAGTGTGCCTCAAGGATCCGTGGCGTGTGTGCCAAGACCTCGCTCTGCTCACAACTAGATCTGGACTGTGGGCCCATTCCCCAAGTCTGCCCTGCATCCTGATTTGGGGTGGGGGTGGAGGGAGACTTTAGGGAAGATCCTGGGGCTTCTTCCCTCCTGGGAACTCCCTAGGGTGGGTGTTGGGGACATCTCTATGCTGTCACCTTGTTTCATTGTCTCCCACCCCTACTGCCATGGGAATGTGTCACTGATTTGTGGATACATGTATGGTCTGTCTCCCTCCATTGAATGCCAGGATTTTGTCTTTGTTCTCCAGCCCTCTGGTGCTGAATGACAAAGGAGTATTCCCAGCCAGATGCTGGCGAGTGAGCTGCATGGATTGGAGCCTGTTGGGATGATGGGAGAGGGCTTCCCGGAAGCGATCCTAGAGCGGATACTGACAGACAAGGGTTTCCCGTGGCCCCCTAGCACTGGAGTTTACGCCTGCCACACCGGGGCCGGCTCAGGAAGAACTGCTTGAAGTTTTTCTCGTAGGTGGGCAGGTTCTCTTTGAAGCAGTATGCAGACTGCTTGTCGCACTCGCAGGCCCGCAGCCCACAGAGGCAGCCGACACCAGGACCAGGGGCGCACTCACCTGCGGAGAGACAGAGGGTCACTGGGAGCTCCCAGCTCACTCCCGGGGTTTGGTTCTAAGGTTTGGAAAATAGAGAGCTCGCTGTAAGGGCTCAGGGGTTGAAAACTGAAAAGGGAAGTCATTTGGAGTCCTTTTCCTTCGGACCCAAGGCCTGATCACACCTGGACATGTCACAAGTACTGGCGTAAGGAACAGTCTAGAAGGAAACAAGAGATGTGGGGGAGTGGGGGCTGCATGGAGGGGTGCCCTGAGTTGGTGCGCCGGGGCCAAGGTAATGGGACCCATTTCCTCAAAACGCATCTCATATTTCCAACCCCTTGCTTGACATCTCACGTGGATCTCTCAGGCATCAACAACTTAAGACGCCCAAAGTGAATTCACACTGTAAGTGCTCCCTCCGCCCACCAAGCCTGCCTTCTCCCACACTCCGGGCTCAGTAAATGTACCACCTCCTACTCGAGCCTGAAAGCTAGCAGCCAACCTTGGTCCCTCTCTTCCTCTGACTTTTCACATCTAGTCCACCAGCAAGTTCCATGGATTTCCCTGTGTTTAAAATGTCATGCTCTGCCTGCTTCTCTCGATCTTCTCAGCCACCACCCCAATCCTTGTCATCACCAGCTCTGCCCACCCCCCCTCACCCCATGGAAGGAAACAAGCAGGAACCTTCTTCAAATGGAGCCTGGATTAGGTTCCCTCTCCTGCTTAAAGCCCTGCTGTGGGTTCCCACTATTGGGGGAAGACATCCCAAATCCTTGCCACAGACTCCAAAGCAGGCTTGCCATGACCCAGCCCTTGCCAACCCCTCCACCCTTATTGTCCCTCGCTTTGCCACTGTCACTCCTCTCCAGGCACACCGGCCTCTTTATGGCACGTGTCTTGCTCTGTCTTGTCCCAGGGCCTTGCTACTCGCGTTCCTCTTTGTCTAAAACAGTTCTCTCCAGGATCTTCAGGCAGCTAGATCCATCCCCATCCTTTGGGTTTTGGTCAAATTTGCCCTCGTCAGAGAGGCTCTCCAGGACCACCCGACCTGAGGCTCTCTCCAGCCACTCTCCCTCACATCCCTGCTTATTTCACTGGCTGTATTTTCATAACTCGTACTTCTCTTATTTATTTACTTGCTTGTGTCTGCCTCTCCTGTGTGCTCTGTGAGACTGGGGCTTGTCTGTCCTGTCCACCACAGTGTCCCCGGCATGCAGAATCAAGGCTGGCACACAGTAGGTGCTCAACAAACAGCTGTTGACTAAATGAATGAAGCCCCCATGGGCCTTTGGGATCAATGTCTGCCCTTTGGCTGAATTCACCGCTAGATGGGGATCTTCTATTTAATAGTCAGAACTGTAGTGCTGTGTGTGTGTGTGTGTGTGTGTGTGAGAGAGAGAGAGAGAGAGAGAGAGAGAAGGGGGGGAGTAAGGCACAGCTTTCTCTTTCTAGATAACCCCACCCACTTCTATTCTCTCTTTTAAGGGAAAAATGGAACTGTGAAATACACTTCCACAAATGAGACAGAGCAAGAAGATCCGCATTCCTGCCCGGGCTCACCAGGCGGCCTGCCAGGCCTCTAGTGCCTGCACCAGGCCTCTGCCCGGTCCCTGAGTCCTCTCCCTGGGCGTTCTTGTTCAGTCTCAGGGCTTTAAGTACCATCTGAGCACTGGCGACACTCCTGCCCTCACACCAGCCCAGAGGGCTCCATTGAGCTCTAGACTCCAATACGCTCGTGTCCACTCGACGTCCCTCTTGGTGTCTGACATGCATCTCGAACCCCACATGGCTCATGACAAGCTCTGCTGTGTCTCTGTGGTCCGCTCTTCCCCCGTCTGCACAAGCCCAGAAGATGACACCGTCCTCCGCGGCTGCTCAGGCCGAGAACCTCGGTTCAGACTCTTTCCTTCCCGCCCCACATCCAATCCATCAGCAGGTCCTGTCGATTTACCTCCAAAACACACCCAGCACCTGACACTTCTCTTCACCTCCACGTCGTCACCCTGACCCAAGCTGTGGCGACTCTCTAGTGCTACTGAAACAGTCCACGAACAGTTCCCCCTCTTCTCCCCTTGCTCCCCAACTTCTCTGCCGTGGCCACAGCGATCTTTCTAAAGCAAAATTATGCAGATCACTCCCTGCCTCAAAGGATCCAACAGCTTCCCCTGCAACTGAAGTGGAAGGTGAGCTCCCTGCCCTGCCCCCACGCCTCATCTCCCCCTCCTTCCTGTCTCCTCTGCTCCCACCAGGATGGCCAAAGGCCACACCCTTAGAGAGGCCTTCCTCAGCCGCCTAAAGTAGCCATCCCTCCCTCCCCCTGCCTTCGTCATTCTTTACCTTGTTGCCTTGTTTTAGATGCTTCGTAGCACTTGTCACTACCTGAATGTACCTTTACTTTGGACTATTTTATGATCTGTCTCCCTCCTTAAAGGCCAATTCTTTCCAGGCAGGGAGCTTATCTTATCATTGCGGACCTTCAGCCCTGAGCATGCGTAAACACGCCATCACTACCTACTGCTGCCTCACTGGCTGGACGTATGCCACCTGTGGGGCAGCAAAAGGAGCCCCATCCCAGGGACAGGAAGCCAGGTTCTCGGTGCTCACCTGCTGCCCGCATGCTCTGAGGTCTCAGGGACTTCTCTCCAAGCCTGTTCCTCAGCTGTCAAACGGGGCTAAGGACACCTGCACAGACTAATGCTTTTCATTCATCCACTCATCGAACACGCAGGGATTGATTTTCTACCATGAGTGCGGCCTTTGTCTAGGACCTGGGGGTACAGGTCTGAGTGAGCAGACCCCACCGTGCACAGCTCCAGGGACATCCTTCTCCGTGGACTCGGAGAATGAGTGTCCCCGAACAAGACACGCTTGTTCCTTGCTCTCCCGGAACTCATATTCTATTGGGGGGCGGGGGGGGGGGTGTTGATGCAAAAGTAAACCAGAGAATTTCAGGTGGAGACAAATGCTAGGAGAGAAACATGGTGATGTGTCAGGGAATGGTGGTGTGGTGAGGAATGAACTCAGTAATAAAGGAGGAAGACCTCTGCAAACAACACATCCAATGGCTACCAAGTTCACCCGTCCCCCGTTGGCAGAGGGAGAAGTCCCCTGGCTGCAACTGGTCTCTGGTCTCTGCCTCCCACGGCCAGGTTCCTCCTTGCACAACATATGCATGCATGTATGGGTGACGGGGGCTGTCACGGGGGCTGATCTTACAGTCCCTTGCAAATGCCAGGTGCTTATGTAAGCCTGCTCGAAGGAGGGATAGGCACTCCAGGGCAGCCTTCCTCAAGGGGCAAATTAGCCCCAGGCCTGGGGTTGCAGGCCTATCTCTGCACTGATCTCCCAGTGACATTTTGAGGCATGGACAGAGCAAGTTGTTTTTCTCCTTTGCCTCCCCTGCTCTCCAACTGCATCCCAGAGCAGCCACTGGTTGCTAGGCAACCTGGGACTGGGCTTGGGGGCAGGATTTCAGAACTGGAGGCTGGGGAGGCGATTAACCCTTGTAGGGCAGCTCTTGAACTGCAGTGTAACTGGGGTTGGGGGGGGCAGGGTGCTTTTATTCTTTAGAGGGTTCATGGCTTTAGCTCAAGGAGATGCTTCAAAGTCTCTCAATAGTAATGGAGAAAATCTCACAGAGTAAAGGGGAAAAGAAAACTGAGATAAAAAAGCAATCTCAACTTCTAACAGGAAGGGCACCTGCTGTGGGCCAGAGCCTTTAGTCGGGTCACTCTAGCCACTCCTTACAGGGACCTCATGAAGTGCACATTATCATCTCCATTTCACAGATGGTAAAGGCCCAGGTGGTTTTGCAATTATCCAGCCAGAAGGGGTGAAGCTGGGATTCGGACACAGCTCTGCCTAGCTCCAAAGCATTGCTCTCCCTGGGCCTCTTAGCAGGGCACACAGAGCTGGAACAGAAAGATCTGGGGCAGCGGCCTTTCTTTGCCCCCTGGGCCAGGGGCGAGCATCCTGATGAGTGTGCTGCAGACAGCAAGACGCATTTGTGTGGCCTCCAATCAAGTGCACCCATCACCCTCCCGACAGCCCCCTGCCACTGGGAAGGGCAGTGTGAGGCAGGAGCACCAGCTCTGGGGTCAGAGGATCTGGGTCCAAAGCCCAACTTTTCTTTCCCTGGCTGTGTGACCTTGGCCATCTCCCTTAACCTCTCTGAGCCTCAGGGTCCCCCTCGATAATGGGGAGAATAATGCCCACCTCAAAGGCTTGTCATGGGGGTTCCAGGTGCTGTCACAGACGCTGTTGTTATTATACCCATTTTATGGATGAGGAGACGGAGGCCCAGGAAACCCAGGCCAGGCAGTGTGTTCCAGAGCCTGGGAAAACTCAGGACACAGGTATCATAACCCTGCCTGTTGCCTGGATCAAGCCTTTCTTCTCTCTGGGCCTCAGCCTCCCTGTCACTACTATGAAGGGTTGGTCTGGATGATCCCTAAGGGTGCTTCAGCCCTAGAGAATACCGAGAGAGAGCAGGGCCTGAGACTGCCTTGCTCAGCGTCCCTGGTCCCTGGCACAGTGCTGGCACTGGGTGGGCACCCAATGGGCACTCAGTCATCACAGGGCAAGTGAATGAAGGTCCATGGGTCTCCCTTAAGGTCTCAGCACCTATAGCAGTGGTTCTCAACCTTCTGGCCCTTTAAAACAGCTCCTCATGTTGTGACCCCCAACCATAAAATTATTTTCGTGGCTACTTCATAACTGTAATGTTGCTACTGTTATGAATCGTCATGTAAATATCTGATATGCAGGATGGTCTTAGGTGACCCCTGTGAAAGGGTCGTTCGACTGCCAAAGGGGTCGCGACCCACAGGTTGAGCACCGCTGATCTATAGCAACAGACCCGGGATTAGAACACAGATCACCCAGGTCTCAGCCCTGTCCCAGGAATCAGGGCCTTGGCAAGGGGGGGTGGGTAAAAATGAGGGGGGGTTGGCCTGGTACTCACTGGCTGGTCAGCTGAGGAGTGGGATGCTGACATCCTGGTGGTGACAGGGAAGTGTCCCTGCATGTTAATTCCCTGAGCAGGGCTCTGTCCTCTGGGAGCCCTGATTAAGTATCAGGAGCACCTGTCCAGCTCCCAGCCCTGCCTGCACCTCCTGCCACCACTCAGCATGTGCCAAGCAGAGGACAGTTCCGCATGCCCCCACCTGGGGCTCCAGTCATTCCCCTCTATCTCCTCCGCCTCCTGCTGTCCTGGGCTGTGGCTCGGATCCCCTCACAGGAGGCGAAGAGGGTTGTTAAGGGCGCTTCCCCAGGTGCGGAGTGCCCAGGCCGGCCCTCGTGGGCACAGCCAGCCCATAGCAGCCCAGGGCAGAGGCATGGTCTAGACCTGGAACTGATGTGGGGGGGCGGGGCAGGAGAGGGGGTAGCAGGTCCTCTGCAGCTACTGAGGTCCCATTTATCTCCCCAGGGCACCTTTTCCCTTTCCTCGGTCCCTGTGCTTTATGGGACATCAGAGGAGAGGGCTCCTGAGTACATTTTCTCTAAAACCGATGCCTTTCTAACCATTTGAGATCACACTTGACATGACAGATGGTAAGATCAAGACAAAAAGAGGCAAGGAGAAACCAGTGAGAAGACAGACAGTGAGACAGTGAACCAGGCTGAGAAAAGAGCCAGGGGGCATCTCTGCGGTGTGCCCCTCCCTCACCAACCAGCTGCCAGGCTTCTCCCCACCCCTGCCCTACATCCCTAGGTGGGGCCTAGAGGGGTGGGAGGAGGTGGTCAGAAACTTGGTCTGGCCTCCAGAGGGCATCAGAGGCCACAGCAAACAATACTTTGGGGGCAACCTTCTCCCGCTCCCCCTCCTCTGCCCTTGTATGAGGCCTGATCCCTTCCCATCTCCTTGGACATGACCTTGGGGTCTCACAGAAGGGACACTTTGCTTTAGGCCTGAGGGTGGTCATGGCCAGACAGCTCCTACACAGGAGGTCTCCTTGAGCTCACATGGAAAAAAGGGGGTTCTCTCCCCATTGACCATGTGCCTGGGGACAGGTGCTACGGTGGCCCAGAAGCAGACGGAACTGAAGCCGGCCCTCCCGAGGCAGTGGCCTGAGCTCTCAGCCCACTGCGTTTCAGGTCTCACCACCGGAACCAGGGTCCACCTTGGTGTGTCCTGAGCCAGAACTCTGGGTGGGGGCACTGAGCACACCCTGTGAGTGGGGAGATGAGGGCAAGAGAGAGAGTGGTTCCCTGACCTCAGGAGGAGACACAAACTTGAAGACACACTCACGGCTGTGAATAAACACGCGAGCGAAGGAAAGGGGTTCCTGCTACGCCACCGGCCAGGGAGGAGGCGAGTCGCGCCCTCGCAGGGGAGGTCACACAGTGAGTGGCATTCACCAGGGGGCTATGGCCCAGGGCTTTCAAGGTGCTGCTGTTTAGACTGAACCTGCCCTATACATATCCACGCCCCAGCAGCCCCAGAACATCCCCTGAGATGTCAGGGCCACTCCCCATGAGCTGGACACTCAGTACTTGCCCTCCTCCTTGAGTGGCCTCCACCACATGTAAGGTCCCTTCCCCCGACCCTCCTATGTACTTTTGCGTCGCCCATGGCACCTATCACAGTGCCTGGCATGCCAGACCCCTTACCAAATATCTGTTCCACTGAAAGACAGCTGAGGTGCTTCGTCAATTCACGACCGACATAAGGAGAAGGTTCACAGCAGCAACAGTTGCAAAAGCCAATGTAAGCTCAAGTCAACAACTGTTTATTGAGCACCTACTATACGCACTGGCTCCGTGCTCCCAGAGGCTGCTGGGTGTAGCCGTGGGCAGGAACAACCAGGAGAAACACAGCCAGGACTCCCAGGAAGCTCTGGTTCTCGGAATTACCAACTTGCATCTCAAAGCACTTGGGCAAGTCTCACTCCCTAAATGTTCTCTGGGTCCACGAGGAGGCGGACATTCAGGGAAGGCTCAGGTTCAAAGGCATTCCCCACAGGGAGGCTACTCACAGATCAGGGTGCTGTTGACGATGTGGAACTGGTAGCTGCTCAACAAGGGCTGGCAGCCCAGCTGCTTCAGCTTCTCGTAGCAGCAGTCGTGGGCCAGGCAGCACCTGGGGGCCAGACCAGAGGGGGGAGGGGCTTTACCGTGGGTGGGCCCTGGGGAGGGCGGGGTCAGCTGGAGGCCCTGGTGCAAAGGACTCACCTGCCTCCTCCCCCAGGACAAGAAGGCACTGAAGATAAGGAGGTAAACTAATGATAATATTAAAAATCATATGAGTAGCCACTAACAATTAATGAGGTCTGTCCGGGACCCATCTCATTAGCTCCTCACACTAACCCAAGAAAGTGCCATCATTGTCCCCCTTTCACAGGGGAGGAAATGAGATTCGGAGGTGGAAAATGACAGCTCTGGACTCAACTCTGGTTCTATGTCCTCATTCATTCATGTAATGATTTTTTATGAGCACCTACTATATGCCAAGCACTGTGATAGTCCCTGAGGAGGCAGTGGTCAGCAAAAACACATAATGCTTTAGCGCTTGCGTTCATGGTGCTCAGAGTGATGGGGCAGGGATCGAGGGGTGGCAGAAAGGGAGAACATTCAAGTGGAGGAAATAGCTGGGGAGCGGCTCACTTCTTCAACCAGTGTATAAGGGGCAGGGATGCAGAAACCTGGGACTGGATCCAAGATGTGGAAAAGGAAGTACTTCAGTCTTCCCCTCACCCCATCCCTGCCCACAAGCAGGCTCTTAGCCACCTGTCATCTTCGGCTAATTGTGTTATTTCTCATCTGCCTTTGAACTTGGACAAGGAGGGCACAGAGCATCAAAGGGCCCAGACTTTAAAACAAGCAAATTCTTGTCCAAATCCTGACTTTTCCAAACTGGTCCTTGGATTCTCTCTTCTGGAATATGGAACTAGGATTGGGAGGCAGTGGGTCAGTCTTGCTGCGCCCATAATCCTACAAACTGGGGAGCCGAGAGAAGACCACGTTTGCCGTGAGAACTGAAAATGTTTCTAGAGCTCTGAGCAGGACTGACTCCATAATTTGCAAGGCCTGGTACCAAAGGAAAACACAGGCATTTCCAGACGGTGCAGGTCCTTGGGAATGCTGCACGGGCCACACGTGCAGGTACTGGCCCTGATCTTCCAGACCCTGCGTTCTCCCTCCAATTCCCATTCCGTTTTTCCCTCACTCTCACCTGAATGGGTTTCTGTTACTTGCAATGCAAGAGCCCCGATACACTCCCTCCTGCAAACATAGATTTCAATGCAAATTAAATGCCAGGAGGCCTTGGCGCTTCTGCACTCACCTGTCAGTGTCGTCCACGGGGGTCCCCTTGCCCCCGAGCCCACAGTAGCAGCCATAGCCATAGTAGGAGAAGAAGGCACTCCGCCCTGTGATGTGCTTGACCATCCTCTGAAACTGCCAGAAGCTGCTGTGGGTGGGGGCTACCACTGCCAAGGAGAAAATCAGGAAGAAGAAACAATGCCGTGAGAGCCTGGCATCCGGGGAACCAGGAGCCCCTGCGCGTGGTGCATCGGCTCGCTGGGACCACCGGCCCCTTCAATGGGGAAGAAGACGGGGTCAGATCTACCGCAGCGCACAGCTGGTTTCTTGCTAGTCCAGGATGACAACCCAGTTTCCGTGATGTTGAGAACAACATTGACACACTGACAACTACAGTCTTCCCCCAAAGTAACGCCCCCCCCCATCCCCCCCGCAGAAACGCCCTCAGGCCCGATGTTCAACATTAACGGGAAAAGTTCAAGGCCAGAAATGCCAATCCCTACAAATGTCATAGAGCATTTACAATCTCACAGAAGAAGCAAAAGACTTAAGAAGCAGAACAGATAACCTCATCCATTTTTTTTTAATGGCAAATACACATGGACCCAGCATTTTTTACTTCTAAAAAATGCTTACAAAAGTCAAGGGAAATATATATGTGTGTGCTTGCTGCAGCATTTTCTGTGATATGAAAAGACTGGAAACTGCTCTGCCTGGCCTGGCTCACTTAGGTGGAGCATCATCATGGACACCACAAGGTGGCAGGTTTGATTGCCGGTCAGAGTACACATACCCAGGTTGCGGTTCGATCCCTGGTCAGGGTGAGTATGGGAGGCAAGTAATGGATGTTTCTCTCTCACATCAATGTTTCTCTCTCTCTTATCAATAACTAGTGGCCCGGTGCACGAAATTCGTGCAGGGGGGGAGGGGTTGTCCCTCAGCTCAGCCTGCACCCTCTCCAATCTGGGACCCCTCGGGGGATGTCTGACTGCCAGTAGTCAGACATCCCTCTCACAATCTGGGACCACTGGCTCCTAACCGCTCATCTGTCTGCCTGCCTGATCACCCCTAACCACTCTGCCTGCCAGCCTGATTGTCCCCAACTGCCCCCCCACCCCCCCACCAGCCTGCTCGCCCCCAACTGCCCTCCCCTGCTGGCCTGATCACCCTTAACCACCTCTGCCTTGGCCCTGCCACCATGGCTTTGTCCAGAAGGACATCCAGAAGATCTCCCGATCTAATTAGCATATTACTTTTTTATTAGTATAGATAATAATAATAAAAAGAAAACTACCCACATAGCCATTGAAAGGGGATAAAAACTATATGATGTGTTAAAAACATACTACTTTTTAAAATTTTTATTTTATTATTTTTATTGATTTCAGAGAGGAAAGAAGAGGGTTAGTGAGATAGAAACATGAATGATGAGAGAGAATAATTGATCAGCTGCCTCCTGCACGCCCCCCACTGGGGATCAAGCCCGCAACCTGGGCATGTGCCCTGACCGGGAATCAAACTGTGACTCCCCCTACCCCCTACCCCCCAGTTCATAGGTCAATGCTCAACCACTGAGCCACACCAGCTGGGCAAAAACATACTTTTAGTAGCAATACCTCTAGGCAATGGGATTGAGGAGGCAGGTGAAGAGAAAAACATTTTATTTTATACTAGTGGCCCGGTGCATGAAATTTATGTACATTAAAAGGGAATTAATTAGAGGAAATATTTTAATATTGCTATTTGCCCTTTATAATAGCATTGTCAGAGATAAAAGAAAATTACTAAAATGTATATGAAAATCTTCAGCCGAAACTGGTTTGGCTCAGTGGATAGAGCGTCGGCCTGCGGACTGAAAGGTCCTAGGTTCGATTCCAGTCAAGGGCATGTACCTGGGTTGTGGGCACATCCCCAGTAGGAGATGTGCAGGAGGCGGCTGATCGATGTCTCTCTCTCATCGATGTTTCTAACTCTCTATCTCTCTCCCTTCCTCTCTGTAAAAAATCAATAAAATATATTAAAAAAAAAAAAAAGAAAGAAAAGAAAATCTTCCTCTTGTCAGAGTCTGGGGTGTGCTGCGGGACCCGGTGTCAAGTCCCTGCCCAAACACGCATCCTTCAGACCTGGCTGGCCCCACCCCCATTGGGCAAGCTCCAGACTCATCAAGCCCCGATGGGCAGGGGGCACAGCCTCAAGTCCCCCAGCCTGGGTTGGGGGGCATGGCCTGAGGTCCCCCGTCAAGCCCTGCTGGGTGGGGGGGTGCAGTCTTATGTCCCCCAGCTTGGTGCCGGGGCAGGGAGCATGGCCTGAGGGCCCCTGTCAAGCCCCACCAGGTGGGGGGGCGCAGCCTCAGATCCCCTGCCCTGGCTCAGCGCCATGCAGCCTCAGGTCCCTGCTGATTGCTCGTTAAGGCTCATTATGGGAAATAGGCCTCTGCTGTGGACATAGCCATATTGTGTTACGAAATCCCTGCCTCTGTTGTGGGCACAGCCATCTTGACCATTATGACATGAAGGTTAATTTGCATAGTCCCTCTTTACTAGATAAGATATTCCACAGTTCATTTTAACTTTTATGCTGTATGATTCTCTTTTATGATGCGCATGTCTTACTTTTCTGTTGAAATGTGTTAAATGTGTGTGTGCAAAGTCCTGGAGGATATACCTAACTCTTATAAATGGCTGATCTGGGTGTAGGAGAAGGCTGGGGGTCTGGGAGGCATGAGAAGGGGCTCTATTTTGTTACTCTCTACTCACTTATTTTACTTTTTAATTACATGCGCATCTTAATTTTGCCATAAAAATAAAGCATGAACTTGAAGAAGAAAAACAGAGAGAGAGGGTTTGAGGAAATTTTCCCAGGAGCCTTCCCATCTCATACTGAGATTTTGGATATCTTGTCACAACGCATGAAAGAGGTGCCGGTCACTGCTGTCCAAACGGCCCCCAGAGAGAGGGCGGAACCTTCTGGGCACACCACGGGGGTGCAGAAGTGGCACTGCCGGCACACGGGTCCCCCCACACTGTGATCTTACCGCTAAGAGAAAATGAGAACCCCATTTTGACATTTTGACTTAGGGACTCAACAGTGATTGCTCCGCAGCTGAAACAGATAGGAAAACGATTTAAACAAATCTTTACACAACTAATCCAAGAGTTGAAGAGTTTCCAATAGAACCAACACCGTTTCCTGCACATTCTTTCACGTCGCAAAGGTGTGCCATCTGACCCGCTGAGAGCGATGACTCACGATTACCAGTTACTCCACAAGCCACCAGAAGAATGCCTTTCTGATGGGAAAGAATGGTTCCTAAATTAGCTAGCTGGATGTCTGCGGTTTTGTTCTAGAAGCCACACGATCTTCAATAAAGCTCAGAGGTAGGAAAAGTGAATTCACCTTCACTCGCATCCTGAGGAAAGACTCCTGAAGGGGCGTGTGTGGGAGAGCAGAGTCCAGCGCCCTCTTTCTTAGCAAACGGTTGCAACCTTTGATTTCCCAGAAGTTTTGGGGGATCCCAACACTGGGGTCAAGCAGGAGGGCTTTGGTGGGGGCCTGTTCTGCTCCTGGTTCTCTTTTGAGCGACATCTGACTCCCCCTCGCCTGATGCCACCTCAGGAGGGACCTCCCCACAGACACAGACACACAGAATGGGGGACAGCGCCCCGAAACTCGCCCGCAGCTCACTACTTACAGCAGGACGTGAAGACCAGGAGCACCCCGAGGGCCTTCATTCCCGAGGGGATGAGGGGGTCCAAGGCGCCTTGATCACAGCTTCCTCGGGTCGCCAGGGGGCGGCTAGGTGAGAGCCTGTTGGGGAGGAAATGACCGAGTGAGGCGAATCCACGTGGGCGCAAAGCCCCAGCTGCAGGGCCGACCTCGGAAGGCCCTCGGAGGAGAGCCCAGAGCAGAGAGCTCTTTAACCCGAACCATCTCCTAACACGACACTCTTTCTGGTAGGGAGACCTAAGGATAAAGATAAAGAAGGCTGCAGTCGTTTAAAAAGTGCAAGTTTTGTGGTTTTTTAAACATGTCTTTCTTTGGCAACACCAACCCTTCATCTTGTTTTTCTTTTTCTCTTTCTCCTGAGGAGTCAGCGTTTCTCCTATTCCCAAGTTTAAAGGCATCTCTGTGGTCCATGATGGAGATCCAGCTTGGGAAAGTCTAGCCCCGTTTGCAAGGTAGATACCCACCCCCTCCGCCCCAACACACACACACACACACACACACACATACAGACACACGCACACACACACGCACACACACACATACACACATACACACACACACACGTTTACCTTCCTTGATGCACAGGTATCTTATTCATAAACTTAGCCCCTAAGTTTCCTCTCCTTAAAGTGAGACTAAAAATGCCTATGGAGCCCTAACCAGTTTGGCTCAGTGGATGGAGCGTCGGCCTGCGGACTCAAGGGTCTCAGGTTTGATTCCGGTCAAGGGCATGTACCTTGGTTGTGGGCATGTCCCCAGTGGGGGGTTTGCAGGAGGCAGCTGATAGATGTTTCTAACTCTCTATTCCTCTCCCTTCCTCTCAGTAAAAAATCAATAAAATATACTATAAAAAATGCCTATCGACCATCTCCAATGTTTATGAAGAAATTACTAAATGCCGGTGCTGCTTTCTTTGAAGGCTCTGTGGGTATTCCATTATTTAATCCTCAGAAAACCTTGAGCAGCTTCACCATCATTTCAGAGATGGAGAAACCGAGGCCCAGAGAGTTTGAACACATCCTCGCTCTCCCATAGCCCCTGACTGCACAGACTCATGGGGACCAACTGAAATAATGCAGTAACCCTGCTTTGTACTAACAAATGCCGTGACAGGTAGACACGCCCTTCCTATTGCTATTAGCAATGGTGATGGTGCCCACATTCGGCAACCTTCCCACAGGACAGCAGACAGGATGTGGGCTCAGTGTCCCACCTCGTCACATGGAGCCCCCTGATCAGTCAACAGCTCTCTTTAAGTACAAGTGGCCCCTGTGCGCCCATCAGAAATCAAGCTAAATCTGAGAACACATCAGCACTAGGCGTACGAACAATGGCTGGCATGAGCCTAGAGGACTGGGAGGGGCAGACCTAGACTTACACTCCGTGGCGAGGTTTGCCAGGAAAACTTCTAGACGGGGGCCCTGCTGCAGAGCCTGGGAGGGAATCAGAGTCTGCTATTCTTGCCTCTTCGGCAAAATTCTGGTGGGTGCTGCAGGCCTTGGCCAGGCCTGGTCCCAGCCAGCCCTCATCACAAATACTATGCAGGACGTTCCAGCTCCATGGGCTGGCTTCCTTTTTCTCTTTTGAGTCTTAAAAAATAATTGTGTGATGGTTTAGTCCAGTGGTCGGCAAACTCATTAGTCAACATTGCCAAATATCAACAGTACGACGATTGAAATGTCTTTTGAAAGCCAAATTTTTTAAACTTAAACTATATAGGTAGGTACATTGTTATTAACTTAATTAGGGTGCTCCTAAGGCTTAGGAAGAGTCACACTCAAGGGGCCAAAGAGCCGCATGTGGCTCACAAGCCGCAGTTTGCCAACCATGGGTTTAGTCCACGAGGAAGGGGCCGACATTTTCAAATGAGCAGGTGATGGCACCTGCGTACATTACTGGCAAGGAAACAGCACAGACTCTTATTAAGCACCAACTATGTGCTTTTCTGGTGACATAAGATTCTGGCCCAAGCAAGGCTGCTGAGCTGGCTGGAGAGACCAAGTGGGTAAATACAGACCAAAAGCCCGAAGCGGGGAGAAATTCTGTGTTTGGGCCTCCATTGTTTCTGGAATGCTTAGCCCAATCTTTGGTAGTCCCCTTTTCAGGGCTGGGACCTGCCCCTGACACTCCCACGCCCTGAGAAATGCCTCTGCTGTAGGGAACTGTCTGGTTCACGGTTATGACCCTCCTGGTGAGGGGGTAGAAGAAACCCCTCACCAATGCCTAGCTCAGGTGATGATTTAAAGGGCCATCCCTTGCCTCCTTCAGGACAGCTCTAGAAAGCCATCCCAGCTCCAGAGCTCCCCAGAAGACAAGCTGAGGCCTCAGCAACTGCCTTGTGTGGGTCAGCTTCTCCCTCTATGGGTCAGCTTCTCCCTCTGTGGGTCAGCTCTCCCTCTGTGGGTCAGCTTCTCCCTCTGTGGGTCAGCTTCTCCCTCTGTGGGTCAGCTTTTCCCTCTGTGGGTCAGCTTCTCCCTCTGTGGGTCAGCTTTTCCCTCTGTAGGTTAACTTCTCCCTCTGTGGGTCAGCTTTTCCCTCTGTGGGTTAACTTCTCCCTCTATGGGTCAGCTTCTCCCTCTGTGGGTCAGCTTCTCCCTCTGTGGGTCAGCTTCTCCCTCTGTGGGTCAGCTTTTCCCTCTGTAGGTTAACTTCTCCCTCTGTGGGTCAGCTTCTCCCTCTCCCCCCAGTCTTGCCTTGCTCACTTCCCAGCTGGTGTGTTTCCTGGCTGTCCCCCAGCAATGCACTTCTCCGTCCCAACATCTGTGTCCAGGGAGGCCAATGTAAGCCTGGGTAGAGTGATGAGCATTGCTCTACGGATTGTACAATAAATGCCTTTGAGCTCAGAGGTAGGAAAAGTGAATTCACCTCCAAAAGGAGGTGGCATTTGAGGGGGCCTGTGTTTACCTTAAATTTGCATTCTTCTCCTATATACTCCTCACCACAACCCCAGCCATCTGACAGTTGAGAAACCAGGGCACAGCAAGAAGTGACCCAAAAAAGATCCACATAGATACCAAGTGACAGGGCCAGGGCTTAACCTGTGGTCACTGACTCCACCCAGTGCTCTTTGCACCCCACCAGACCCCTGTCTACACCTCTTGTTTGTGTAGCATTTTGAAGGTCACGCAGCATTTTCACAGACACTAACCTTCACAGCTATGACTTAGGCAGGACAGACATGGTTCTCTCCATCTGACGAATCATTGCGCGAGTTTTGGATGGTGCTGAAACAAAACCGAGAGGCCTGCAGACTTGATGAAGGGTGAGAGCGTAGTAGGGAGCATGCATGGCCTCCTATGCCAGCCTCTAGGGCAACTGCCAGCAAGTTGGCAGGTGCTTAAGAGCTACCCTCTCAGACCCACCAATTCATCTTACATAGACAGTGATGAAACGTTGGTTGGCTTTTTCCCCATGGAGACGATAAGGAGGAAGGAGCCGGAAAGATCTACAAGTTAAGGCTCATTCCAATTTGTCCATCTCTTTGTCCCTAGAATCTAAGTAGCACAGTGCCAAGGACAAACCAGCAATGACGATAAGGGTGGGTGACATTTGCATCACGCTTGTTTTATACCTTGCACAGTTTCTGAGCACTTCACCCATATCTACTCATCATGTCCTCACATCCCCCAGCTAGGTAAGTACTATTAATTTTCCTCATTCTGCGGGTAAAGAAACTAGGCACAGAGAGATGGGCATTAAATAAATATTTGGGGAGTGAATGAATGGATGACCAGAGTACAATCATGCTTCAAGTTACAGAAATAAAAACAAAACTACAACCTACTGAGGACCAGCATAAGGCTAAGCATCGGATTATCTGATTGAATCCACCTGGAATAGTCCCAAGGAGGCACAGACCATCAGCCCCAGCTTACTGATGAGGAAATAGAGCTGGGCAGAGGTTAGGTGCTTTGCCCTGCAAACTGCTGGAGCCAGAACTTAACCCACGTGTGTCTGACCCCAAAGGTGGCACCCCTACCCCTTGGCAGTTCTCCTGTTTACCTGCGGGTCGCTGAACAAAGGGCCGTACCTACCCAAAACACTGAGAACACAGCCAAATGACCAAGCATCCAGGCAGCTGCCACAACGCTCTCATCTCAGACACAGTTCTAGCAATGCATCACCGGCCTCTTTCTGCTCAGACACAGAAGTGAAACAGGGATGAAGGTCGAGTGGCTCCTCTTCGCAGGAAGGCAAAGGAGAGGAAGAAATGCTGAAAACAATCACTGATGAGGCCAGCGAGCCTGGGGACATTGAGTATCGGGGCAGATGGCTCTAGCCACATCCACAGGATTGTTCCTGGAGCACAATTAGGGACTTTGTGTCACCCAGAAAAGGTTTCATTTTGCCAGGGACTGCAAAGGTGAAAAGCACATAAGCTCCTGCCTTCAGCCCAGCCCTGGCGGAGGTCACTTAGACTGCAACCAACCAGATATCCTTGGGGGGATGCTGCCTGGTGGCTTGCTAGATCTCTCAAGGGAAAAGCCAGCGTGGAGTTGGCATCACCATCATTATTAGTTTAATTCTCATTTGCCAAGCACCTATTTTTATCATCTCCACACAGCAATCCTATTCTTACAGCAATCCTATTCTTATCATCTCCATTCTACAGATGTGGAAACTGAGGCCCATAGAAGTTAAACGAGTTACCCAAGGTTCTCAGCTAGCAAGTGGTGCAGCCGAGATTCAAACTTGACCACAGAGCCCATGCCTGCAGCACCTATGATGGTCCCATCGGCAGATACAGATGAAGTGCCAGGCATGAAGATGAGAGGAGCTACTCTAATGGCGAGGGTGCACGGTGCCGTTGTGGTTGGGCATGTTCTACTGGACCAAAAGGGACCCGAAAAGGCACATGAGGTGTGAGGAGAGAGAAGGTGTTCCAGAAAAGCCTGCATGAAAGAGGTGACTTTTAAGACTCACCTCGAAGGGGTCAGCGAATTTGGATTAACTTCAAGGAAGGGAGCAGGGTGGGGCAGGTATGAGCAAAGACCCTAGAGATGAAAAACCCGAGGGCCCAGGTTTCCCCTTGGGAAACAAGTTGGCTGGAGCTCGGGGAGAGAGCTGGGGAGGAGCGGGAACCATGGCTGGAAGGAGAGAGAGTCTCCACGGAGCTGGCATGGCAGCGACCTCTGGCCACGTGACTGAGAACCCACTTCGCAGGTGACATCAGGGCCCGTCCTTTGCAGACACGTTCTTTAAAGAAAGATGGGAGAGAGAGGCAGCAGAGGCACCTCTCTCCCTGAAGAGCAGGCAGGCCCAGCAACTGCCTGGCCAGCTGCCTTCTTTCCCTTCCCTCTAGCCTCCCTCTCATTTCATGCTGGGCATTACATGACACCAGGAAGCAAAAGACACTGCAGCTATTAAACAGACCTAGGCACAAGCACCATTTCACTGCCTGCCCGCGTGGGCATGCACACACACACTCACTCAAAGGGGGCGAGAAGCCAATTTGATTTTCCAAAAGATTGCATAATTCTTAGGTGATATTAAAATAGCTGATGAAGAATGCACTTTAATCTTCCCTGGGTGGGTGTTGCAGGGCTGAAGCGCATTGCTTAGCTATTTCTCACAGAATCATATACAGGAACTAAGCCACCAGCCCAGAGTTGCAAACCTTCCTCAGCTCCCCAAACTGCCACCTCCTGCACCTTCTTGGGGCCTCAGATCCCTCCCTGAGTGTCCAGGGGGGGCAATGAGGTGACCTTAGCAGGAAGTCTGCCCAGCCCAGCCCTCACCGCCCACAGATGAGGCGCTTCCTGAGATGGGCAGGAACGCCCCTGCTGAAATGATCACCTCCTTCGCAGCCCAAAAGACCTTCTGTCGGTGCCAAGCACTTAGCACATAACCATGTCCAGCCTATGCTGCTCTTCCACACTTGGCTCCAACTGTCTTGAAAATAATCCGAAAATAAACTCTCTGGGTGTCTTCTCGACCCAATGTAAACATCCTGAGGAGGGCTGGAGTCATGCTCATATAGCAAATATTTTGCCACAATGCTGGGTAATGAACCCTAATTCTTTCCTCTGATATGGTTCTTGAATATCTACTAACATTATCTTTTAGTATTATAGTCACTAAGTTATTCACCTGCATATTCCAAGAGTCTAGAACAGTGCCTGGCAGACCACAGCCCAGTTAGGACTCCTTCTGAAGCTATCTTAATTCCATTGTGGAAGAAAGACGACTTCACCCATGGAGTTCTGAAGGGTAAGTGAGTGTTAGGTGAAGGAAAGGAAGGAAGGGTTGGGGAGTTTGGAGAAGAATCTTCTAAGCCAGGGGTCCTCAAACGTTTTAAACGGGAGGGCCAGTTCACTGTCCCTCAGACCGTTGGAGGGCCGGACTATAGTTTAAAAAAAACTATGAACAAATTCCTATGCACACTGCACATATCTTATTTTAAAGTAAAAAAAACAAAATGGGAACAAATACAATATTTGTATTTGCATGTGGCCCGCGGGCCGTAGTTTGAGGACCCTTGTTCTAAGCAGAGGGGACAGCACAAGCCAAGTCCTGCACTGTGGCCAGGGTGTGCATTCGCGTGGCCTGTGACAGAGAACAGGCTTCTGGAAAGTCACAGAGGAGCAGTCGATCTTGGACAGAATCAGAGGATGGATCCCCTGCATTAAAACAGGAGGGAGAGGGGGCAGCAGGGAGACAAAAGTAGACAAGTTGGTAGGGCTGATGGCAGAAAGCTGCGAACCCTTCCATCCGATGGCCTCTTTCTCTCTGAAGAGAGAAGTAAGTTTACCTTCAGAGTGGGAGGAGGGAAGGGAGAGGTGGGGGCGTTCAGGAGAGAGAACAGGTTTGAAATAGCCACTGAGCAGAAAGGAGACAGAACTGCGCTGGGGAAGGTGGAAGGATTTCTGTGTGGGTTGAGGCTTCAGTCGAGGTTGGAGATCATTCCATTATGTGGCTGGTCAAGATCTCTTCACCCGGGTGTCAGTGGGCTGACTGGGAGTGGGAGGAATGAAGAGACAGCAGACGGGGCCTGGAGGATTCTTGCAAGAAAACCGCTGAGGGGGTGGACCAGGGAAGAAGCAGGTTGTTAGGCAGGAAGAAAGCAGAGAGGGCAATGGGCTGGAGCCTCCATGATGTTGAAAGACAAACGCAGTAGGAGTTGCTGGAAGGGTAAGAGGTCATCGTCAGGAAGGTCAAAGCAAGTGTCAATGTCGTTGAAAACAAGGTCCCAGAGGGGATGTGGAAATGAGGAGGTCGGGGATCTGGTCTTGAAAGGGTTGCACGAGGACAGATAAGGCAGACAAGGGCTCCCCAACTCAGATGCCCTAAGAGCAGCCGCTCAGATTCTAGGGTCACCAGGAATCAGTTAGTGCAGCAGCTTCATCTAAAAACTGGGGACACTGGCAGGGTCAGGCCTGACCCAAGGTCACAAACCGGGGCTAGAGGCGGCGGGCGCTCCTCACCGCCAGCCCAGGCCAGAGCCAGAACCGGGCAGGGCACTCTCCCTGCTCTCCTGGGAGATGGGAACCAGGCCAGGAGCCAGGTGAGGTCCGCCAGGTCCGCCTACCCCGCCTCCGCCCAGCACCCGGCCCCCACCCTTTCACCCCCTCATCAGGGCCTGGCCTATTCCGGAGCCAGACCGGAAGCACGTGGCCCCCCACCAGCTCGGTTGCCCGGGAGACCGGGGCTGTTTACCAGCGGGACAAGCCCGCGACTGCTGCGGATGGAGCGGAGAGGCAAGGTGAGCGTGGCCCCCCGCTGGCCCAGAGGGTCAGCTCAGGGCCCCCTGCAGCATGGAAGGGACCGGGAGAGGCCAGACCCGAGCCTCCCACACGCCGCCCAGGCGGGCCTCCCCGAGCTGGGCTGGGCGAACCCTGGGAGACAGGACAGGGGCCCCGAGATGGGGAGCTACTCCCCAGTGGCAAAGCCAGCCCGGCCAGAGCTCACCGTTGCGGGAGTAGGACAACTCCGGGGCTCTGAGGCAGCCAAGGGCCTAGGGAACCGTCGGGCCATGCCCTCCTGGCTGGGCAGTACAGACAGGACACAGATCCCGAGGGACAAAAGGACATCCCGTCACATGGAGAGACCGGAACCAGCTCTGAGCCTCCCCCAGACCAGCGAGCGCTCTGTCACCCAAGTCAGCTCTCACTTGCCCCGCCCCTAACCCCTCTTCCAGCTGCTGAGGCTGGTTTCCCTCCGGAGCTGCCAGTTCTTGGAGACGATTGAGCTGTCCCCCTCCACCTACCCATTCCCCTGGGAGTCATTCCCAGCTCCTTTTCCAAACCTCGGATCACTTGGTGGCTTGTGGGCCAATTTCTCCACGCCCCCTTCACACGTGGCTCTCTGCACGGGACAGTGTCTTCTAATCAGGAGTCCTGGTGAGAACTGGGAATGGTACCAAAGCTTTCTCATGCTCAGGCCAGCTGCCATCTCCTGCTGGTTCTTCTGAGCGGTTTCATCCCGAAAGCATCGCGAGGAGGGGTGGGAATTGGCAGGGGGAGAGTATTAACTGATAAATATTTTTAAAAGACCAATTCACATGTGTGCACCCTTAGTACATCCCAGCAGCCGGTATGTGGGTGGTCATATTTTATTGCATTTACTGTCGATTTAGATTTGTGAGTGCAGTAGGGTGGTCTGACCCTGTGGTGGGTGGGAGGCGGGCCCCGGGAAAGCAGGAATATGGCGATAGCGTCCCCTGTCACGTGTTCCTTCTTTCTAGTTGACTTGGTGATTAATCTGAAGGAATGCGCACCTGCCCTTTTGGCAGCTCCTTGGAAGCAGTTCTCGGTGTTTGTTTCCTGACTCCTAGCAGGCCTCTGGGCCAGCCTGTAGGTTTAAGTAAACAGGCCACTTGCCTATTCAGCTGGCAGCTTGATGGATGCCTGCACCTAGATCTTGTCAAGTCACTTTGTGGTTGTGTCTGCCAGGCCTAGAGGTGGTGAAATGAGCTGAGCAGGGATAACGATGGTGCCCACACAAGCCTTTCTCGACTGAGTGGGGCAGGCAGCTGTCCTGGACCCAAGATGTGAATATAAAGGCATGAAGTGGGCCCCGGCCCCCAAACACCTGCCTGCCCCACCTCCCCTCTCCATGTTCTAGATGCCGGGGAGAGTTGGTGTTCCCGCCATGTAGCAGATGGTCCCTGCACTTGGGAGGAGGCAGTGGGTTATGAAAGCAGGTTCGACGGAGTGGTTTCACCTGAAGGAGGTGTTATTCTCTAAATAACCATGCGTGGGCTGACAGGAATTAGTCACAACTGAGGTTTTCCTCTGAGATAGCTTGCCGTCATGTTAGCTTATGACCAGCGTGTCTTGACTATGACACCCCCTGAACATGGATAATTATATGGTACCGAGAGGTATGGAAAGTGCATGCACAGACTCAAGCTTTCCTGTTAAAAATAATCCAGCAGAGAACACATGACTCTGCTCGTCAAAGTTGTTAAGGAAGAGGTTTCTAAGTTACCAAACTCCCTGACAGTAAAACCTTCCCCAGGCATGTGTGGGAGCTGGGAGCCAAGCCTGTGATAACTCCGTGGAAACTGTGGCAAATGAATAGCCGTTCCGCAAGGGGGAGGGTGGGCAGAGAGGGGGAGTGGATGTGCTGGTTGAGCTTGTCTTAGGCAGAACAGTTGGACAATCATGACCTCCTCGCGCTGCCCTGAGTTAAAGTGCGGGATGGCTTAATGACAAGTGAAAGACGTTAGAACTAAACTAAAAGGGGGAAACAAGATCCCAGCACATTCTTCACAGTTGATCAGAAAATAGATTAAGTTACGGAGACGGGCCTGCTGAGAAGGCTCCTGAACTCCCAGCCGCCAGATTGGGTGTGAAAGACAAATGAGAAGTGGGAAATGGGAGTGTTAGGAAGACTGGGTCTGTGAGCAGAATGGGGAAAAGACAGAGGCTGTTAAGTGTAGAGAAAGAGAGGGTAGCTTTGCTCAAGATTTTGCATTGAGTAGGACTTCAGGAAAATCCAGGGGTAGCATGTTTTGTCCGGTTGTGGTTTTAATGGAGAGGAAGAGGAGACTCCCTAAAATCAGGCAACGTTGGCAGGGCCCACACAACGGTACTCGGTTGTTCAGGATTTCGTGATGAAGGTAGCTTGGAGTAAGTGAAGTTGAGGTGTTTAAGTTTAAAGCATGGAGTTAGAAGGGATTTATTAGAAAGCATTGATCTCATATTTTTGAGGCAATTTCAATAGGTGGTAGCCCATGAAATCCATCTTCCGGCATTTCTGTGCTGTGGGCGGGGCAGGCATGCGTCCTGTGATTCACCCAGCTGGTTAGCAATGACTACACCCCCGGGAAGAACTCTGAAGCAACAGGCAAGGCATTTGGACCTAAAATAATAAAAGTTACTAAACAGACAGAAAACCAAAAACAAAGAAAACCCCTTAATCATTTCATTAAATCTTTTCTTTGCACCAAGCCTGGTGGTCATGGCCTTACCTACATCATTTCATGTTACTGTCTTCATGTTTCAGATAAAGAGACTGATCCGGGGGTATTTGAATAATGCCTCCAGGGTCACATTGCTCATTCCATAGATGAGGAAAGTGACATACTAGCAAGGTGGAGCCACTGCCTGTGGTCACATCGCTAGCTCGAGACAGAGCCTGAAATAGAACCCTGGTTTTAGGACTCCAGGGCCCGTGTCCTGTGCACCCAAACATGCTGCTGCTTCGGGACCATGAGGCACCAGAAAGTTGGCAGATCTTTATTGGGCTGCTCAGCCTGTGGGTAGAGAGAACAGCAGTCACAGTGGTGGTCAGAATTCAGAGGGAAGCAGGAGCCCCAGACCTAGCAGTATCCTGGGAGGCTGTGACCGGGGACCAGCAGGAGGAGGTGGCTGTAACAGTGTTAGTGAAAGGGCCACCAAGATGGCCAGGAAAGAAGGAAAGATCTGACTTGGCGGTTGCGGGCCAGCACAGGGCACCCTTCTCCTGTGAGCTCTCACAGGCACTCCTGAGCACCCCAGGTGCCAGGGACAAATACGAGGCCCTCTAAGTGTTTGCAAGGTAGCTGGGGAGACAGGAACGTTAACAGTAGCAGTAAAAGACAGAATGTGGTCAGTGCTGCGGGAGACGCCCAGCCTGGACCTCAAAACAGAACCCGTGTCACCGACCTGGGTTCTGCTTCAGGCTCTGCCGCTCGCTGGCTGTGACTGCAGGGAAGTGGCCCGCCTTTCTGGCTCACCTGTCTATAGGATTAGCATGCACCCAGAGTCCCCTTTGCAGTCGGTCTAGGACAGTGTTTGTTAATGACGGCCTGCGGCCAAATCTGGCCCACCACTGTGTTTTTGTGTGACTCATGAGCCGAGAAGAGATTTTAGACTTTTAGGTGGTTGGGGAAAAAAATCAAAAGAAGAATACTATTCTGTGTCACATGAAAACTCTATGAAATTCAAATTTCTGTGTCCCTACTTGAAGGTTTATTTAAATACAGCCACACTCATTCATTTGCATACCGTCTGTGCCAGCTTTTATGACAAAAGGGAGGAGTTGGGTACTTGTGACAGACGGTCTGAAAATATTTCCTATCTGCCCATTTACAGAAGAGGTTTGCTGAGCCCTAGTCCAGAACCCGAGGACGTCCCTGTAAGTTCTGGCCCATGGGCGGGTCAGCAATGGGGCCGCCCCTCCTCTCCCTCTGCCCCTGGTGACAAGGGTTGGGGTGGTGGAGGGACACTGCACTGGGTGATCTGTGCAGAGCCACCTCTGAAAAACAGTAGGAAGGACAAGCAATGGGCAGATTGGTGAAGAGGAAAGGACTGAGGGAGACAAGGAAGCGGGGGTCGCAGAGGGGAGCTTGTCCACAGTGAATACTGGAGCAGAGCTAACTGCTGTTGGGACGCCTCTACCAAGGGCAGGGGGCAGCTTGCTGGTCTGCCCCTCAGCTCTTGCGTGAAGCTGAGCCTGGCTTTCCTGAGCGGTGACTTAACAGGGCTACATTCGCTCTTTAGAGCAAAGGCAGCTCCTGGAACCGCTGCTTCGCATAATCGCGTGTGGCTGATTCTGAGCTACAATGGCAGGGCTGAGGAGCTGGGACAGAGACCGTGTGGTTCCCAAAGCCCCAAGTATTGTTGGAAAAAGGTAGCCGACCCCTGGTCTAGGTTGTAACATGGCCTGTTCCTTCTCATCATGGTCTCTCAGCTCAAAGCCCCCCCCTCCCCCAAATTAAGAATCAGAATTAGTCCCCACCCTAGTCACACTCTGATGAAATACTTTATCTTCTTCATTGCAGTTATTACTCTTTGAAAATATCTATTTACGTATAGGATTAACACTTGTCTTTTCTCACTATGATAATGTAAGTTGCAAGGAATTTGGTTCCCTGATATAGTCCAATACCTGGAATGAATGAATGAATGAATGAATGAATGAATGAATGAATGGCAGCTGGTCCCCTCTCCTTTGTGACTGGATCCAGAAGTGCCAGGGCATTTAATCATGGCCTCCTCTCTTTTCTCCTGCTTCCCCAGGGGTCTTGAGAAGCAATGGCCACAGAAGCCCCTGTGAATAGAGCCCTCCCTGAATGCAGCCCTGTCGTCAGCACAGCAGCCGACCGCTTCATTTGGCAGCCAGACTCGCCGAACATGCACGTCATAAGGCCCAAGTCCGCCAAGGGACGGACTCGGCCGCGGCTACACAGACCCCAGGACGCGGGGGTGTGCTCTCACCGCACACCTCCTTCTCCGCCTCCAGCCATTCCCTGCGAGTCGCCAAGCAGCCAGAAGCCAGGAGCCTGTGCGCCCAGGTCCCCAAACCAGGGCGCTCCCGTTGAGGTCCCCGAGCTGCTGCAGCAGGTGCCCATGGGCGCTTCCTCCTCCCTCAATAAGTACCCGGTCCTTCCTTCCATCAACAGGAAGGCCCTGGGGGAGGGGGCCGCGGAAACAGTAGCTGAAAGGACTGGCTCCCTGCGTCTGAGCAGCGTTCAGGCTCTTTACCAGGAGGAGACCTGCACCATGGAGACCAGCCAGGAAGACGCCAGAGCTCCAGCTCGTTTCCCGGAGAGGAAGCTCGTCGTCCAAACCAGGAGGCCGAGCTCCCCCGGGGCTGGAGACCTGGAGGAACCATCGGATCAAGAGCCAAGGCTGCTGCTGGCCGTCCGATCCCCGTCAGGCCGCAGGTTCGTGCGCCACTTCCGGCCAACGGATGACTTACAGACCATCGTGGCCGTGGCCGAGCACAAGAACAAGGCCACCTACCGACACTGCAGCATTGAAACGATGGAGGTGCCCAGGAGACGTTTCTCCGACCTCACCAAGTCTCTGCAAGAGTGCAGGATCCCGCACAAGTCGGTGCTGGGGATCTCACAGGGAGACGGGGAGCCGTGGGTCTGAGTCCACAGCCACCCAGCTGGGGTCCCGGGTCTCTGAGCAAGGAGCCTGCTCAGGTGCCAGGGCCTCCCGGGGGCAGGTGGTTCCAAGTGCCACGTGAGCCTGGTGGTTCCAAGTGCCAAGTG